AGCGGCTACGGGATGCAAGGGAGCCGACGTGGCAGAGGACGTGGCTTCGGTGGTGCTGGACGCGGTGCAAAGAAAGACGACGACTCCAACGACCAACAAGGAGGTACCGGTTGGGGTCGCGGTGCGAAATCTGGACGTGGGGGCAAGTCGGGTGCTGGTGGCAAAATGAAAGGGAGTTGCTGGTATTGTGAGAAGGAAGGGCACCCCTGGTTTTTGTGCTATAAGAAACCCGATGGATGGACCCCCCAGAATCGTCACCAGGATGGCGGCGCGCGGAGGAACCAGAAAAACGGCGCCAACATGGTCGCTGATTCGTCCGACAACAACCCGAAGGGCAACGGCGGTGCGGAGAAGAAGAAGGAGCGCACCGCGGGCCAATTCTTCCATGTGGGAGACAAGGGGGAGCAAGGAGACGCCTCTGCCAAAGTTGGAGCAGAGCTGCACCCCCTAGACTATTGGGTGTTGGACACAGGCGCTGCTTGGACGATGACGCCGCGCAAGGACCTGCTGGACGAAGTACGAGCTGCACCGATCAATGAAGTGTGCTCCGCCTCTGGACACATGTTGAAGGTGGCTGGTGCGGGACGAGCTGCGTTTAAGGGAGCGGATGGCAAGCCGGTGGTGCTGCACGACGTTCTCTTCGTCCCCGACCTGAAGGCCAACCTTATCTCCCTCCGTAAGCTTGGCAAGGCTGGGGTGAACACCAACACGGATGGGGCACGCACTTATAAGGGGCAGCTGGGCAATCGGGTGCTTTGGGATCTGCACGAGAGCAAGGACGTGTACAGATCTATGTGGCAGCTGCCGGCCCTGGCGTGGCATGGTGGGGGGCAGGCTGGAGAGGGGTCTGCATCCCAGGGGGAGTGCAATGCCGTTGGAGGGGTTGGTGTGAAAGTGTCGGCCAGATCTGGGGAGACAGATTGGGCAACGGCACACCGGCGCTTAGGGCATGTGGCAATGCCTTTGCTGAAGCAGCTGGAGAAGGATGGAGCCGTTAAGGGTCTGAAGCTGAACGGACAGCCACCCGATGACAACTGTGAAATCTGTTTGCTTTCAAAGTTCACCCGTTTCCCTTTCCATAGTGTGGCTGGCAGGAGCAAGAAGCCTTTGGAGCTGGTCCACATGGACTTGGTGGGGCCGCTGCCGGTGCAAGGGCACAAGGGGGAGCGGTATTTTCTTACAATTGTGGATGACTGGAGCAGGCTGATGTGGGCGTATCCGCTGAAGCAGAAGGACCACGCCGCCTCCACGATACGGGACGATTGGCTGCCATTTGTGGAGAAGCAGGCGGAGTGTGTAGTGAAGCGGATTAGGACAGACCGGGGTGGTGAGTTCCTTGGAGCTGAAATGACGGCCTGGCTCAAGAAGCAGGGCATCCAGAGAGAGCTGACCACGGCTTATACCCCACAGTCCAATGGTGTAGCAGAACGGGCAAACCGGACCATTCTGGAGACAGCTAGGGCGCTGCTCATAGAATCTGGGCTGAGCAATTCTATGTGGCCTCATGCTGTCCGGCACGCCACTGTCGCTAGGAACAGGGTGCTCACCAAGGTTGGGGATGACTCGTGGGTGCCGTTGGAGAGGTGGCTTGGGAGGAAGCCGCCGGTGGACATGCTGAGGGTGTTCGGTTGCATGGCAGTCGCCCACGTCCCCAAGACCTACCGCAGTAAGTTGGGGGCGAGTGCAATCTGGTGTGTGCATTTGGGGCTGGCTGCTGAGAGCAAGGGATGGCTGCTGTGGGAACCATCCAAGGGTGTGTTGTTTGACAGCAGGGATGTGAAATTCATTGAGGGCATGATGTATGGGAGCTGGGAGAAACAGCCGGAGGCAAGGGTGTCCCAGCAGATGGAGCAGATCACCATGCAGCTGGACCTGACTCCTAGTGTGTGGGAGGAGGGAGAGGAGGCAGCTGCTGGAAATGGTGATGGAGAGAAGGTACAGGAGGCATCTGCTGGTGGAGAAAATGGTGTGGAAACTGGCGGCAGCACTAGTGGAGCTGCTGGACCCGAGGGAGGAGAGAAGCAGCAGGGAAAAACTAAGAAGCCGAAGGGTGTCGTTATGAAGGGATGGGAGACACCCGTCTCCAGGCCAGGACGTACCCGTATGGCTACTAAGAAGCTGACTGCAGGAACTGATGCAGCAGAGCAGCAGCTAGGGACCGAAGAGGCATTGCTGATTCTACCTCATGGCTATGACCCGGATGAGGAGGATGAGCCTGCGTACTGTTTTCTTGCCCCTGCACCAGAGGAACCAGCTAGCATGGAGGAGGCATTAGCTGGACCAGATAGGGACAAGTGGCTGGCTTCTAGGGATGCTGAGTACCAGAGTCTGCTGGAGAATAGGACATGGGATCTGGTGGTGCTGCCTGATGGGAAGAAAGCGATACAATGCAAGTGGGTGCTGAGGATCAAGACCGATGACAAGGGGCAGGTCACCATCTACAAGAGTAGGCTGGTGGCGAAGGGGTTTATGCAGAAGGAGAAGCAGGACTTCAACGAGATCTTTGCTCCCACTGCCAAACCCCCTACCCTCCGTGTCTTGTTGGCAGATGCAGCTGTTAGTGGGAAATTCATAATTCAGATGGATATTTCAACGGCATTCCTGAATGGGATTTTAGAGGAGGATGTGTACATGATGCAGCCGCCTGGGTATGAGGATGGTACGGGCAGGGTGTGCAAGCTCAACAAGTCCATCTACGGCTTGAAGCAGGCGCCACGCTGCTGGTACCAGAAGTTGGCAGCTGTTTTAGAGGAGATGGGATTCAGGACCAGCAGCTGTGATGAGAGCCTCTTTCTCAAGGGCGAGGGGGAGAAGCTGGTGCTGTTTCTGGTCTATGTGGACGACATTCTTCTCTTCAGCAGCAGCATGAAGGAGATCCAGAAAGTGCAGCAGCAACTGATGGAAAACTTCAAGTGCAAGAACCTTGGGGAGGTAAAGTACTACCTCGGGATGCACGTGGAGAGGGATCCAGATCACAGGTGGTTGAAGCTGCACCAGGAGAAGTTCATCAAGGAGCTGGGGGAGAAGTATGGGATTGAGAATGAGCGCAAGGTTGCAACTCCCCTGCCAGCAGAATTCAAGCTTGTGAAGGCTGCAGAGGATGAAGGGGTTGAAGCTGAAGAGCAGCAGCAATTTCAGTCCTTGGTGGGCAGCCTCTTGTACGCAGCAGTTCACACGAGGCCCGACATCTCTTTCTCGGTTGGGCAGCTGGCTAGGGTGGTGCAGAATCCATCAGAGGAGCAGGTGGATGCAGCTGAGCGTGTGGTGAAGTACCTGAACTCTCACCCAAGCATTGGAGTTCAATATTCCGCATCTGCACAGGTGAAGCAGAAAGGGGTGGAGGTGCTGAAAGAGAAGGGGGAGAGGCTTGGAGAAGGCAAGCTATTTCTCACTTGCTTTACCGATGCTACGTGGGCTTCTGAGAAGGAGGATTCCTCATCTGTGGGAGGATACATCTGCGTAGTTGGGGGAGGACCTGTTAGTTGGAGGTCCAAGAAGCAGACGGAGACGGCACTCTCTTCCGTAGAATCAGAGTACATGGCGATGTTCCATGGGGTGAAGGAGGTGATTTGGCTGAGGAGGCTGTTAGAGGAGATTGGCCAGGAGCAGAAAGTTGCTACGCCGCTGTTTTGTGATAGCAAGGGGGCTCTTGGGATGGCCAGAAACGCTGTGCTTCATGGGCTGAACAAGCACATGCGTATCAAGTGGCACTGGCTGCGTAAGGAGGTGAAGAGGGGGACGGTGCATCCGATCTACATCAAGACTCACCAGCAGCCAGCAGACTTTCTCACCAAGAGGCTTGCGGATGAGCCTCATTGGCGTTGTGTGCGCATGAGTGGAATGAGCATGAACTAGCATGGAATGACGGGGATGCAGCCGGCAGGCTGAGGGGGAGTGTGTTGGGTGCAAATGCACATTGCACGACATCCTGCCGTCTGTTTGTACGAGTATGCGTGTGCGAATGCATTTGCGTGTGAATGGTGTGTTTGTGTGTTTGTTTGCTTTCGCATTTTTCGCTTGATGCATTTGCAGGTACTCGCGCAATGTGCGCTTCGGCACAACATTGTATGCGCTATGAACAGTGCAAGCAGAAAGGACGAGCTCGCAAAGGAACCCAAGATGGAAGCTTTGCAGTTCGGTTGAGTTGATTTCGCAGATTCAGTTCTATCCAACTCGGAATTGTACTGTTTTGTTTGGTTAACTATAGTGTAGCAGGGAAGGCACTATAGGGGTACAATTTAGATGAAGGTTGGATGTTGTTTGTCTGTATCTGCATGCTACAAGGCCAGGGGAAACCAGCGGAACCAGCATTTGGCTGGTTGGGCAAAGACAAAACAGGTTCTGTTTTTAGAACCTGAACCTGGTTGTTGTTTTCCCAGGTTGGAAAAACAGAACCTGAACCTGAACCTGAACCTGAACCTGAACCTGGTTGTTTACCAACCTACCACCTGCTATTTTGTCCAGCCAGGTTGGTTCTGTTGCTTGGAATTATTTGGGATCATCCCTGGTTGTTCCCAGGTTGATTCCCAAGGTCCTTGCTAGCTAGAACTATTTAATCCTTCTCTGTTTGTACCTGAATATAGTAAAAATTGATTCAAGCGAATTCCTTCCTCGCTGGAATTTCGTTTCTGCGCTATTCGACGGCGGAATGCTACCCGAGTCAACGCTAGTATGCTAGCACTCCAACGCTAGGCAAACGTTGTCCGAGCCATAACTTAGTAATGGCAGAACTTTTCGCGAGGCAACTTGGCTCATTTTAAAGCTCTTGGAGCGAGCTTCGATATAGCGAATTCTCAGCTTAATCCGATCGACGGTCTGCACGGCACGCTGCGCGACGTTCAAGGTGCTCTTGCTGTTTTGACTAAGTCCTTCTTGATCCCTCTCTCTACAAACTCGGACCCGAGGATAGGGGCTGGTCTTGTACCAGCCACCCAGGGACCCTTGGAGGTGACCCCGAGGAGAGGTTTTAAGTTTGATTAAGTCCTAATAGCTTGAGTTTATTAGGCCCTTACACCAACACCTCCAAGCACAAGCCCCATGCCCGACGTACTGCACAAGTAGCGCAACACCCTCTTAGCGGCATCCATGTGCTCCTTCCTGTGACGGCCAGGAGCGACATAGCGTGCAAGGATGCTAAGAGGGTATGCAAGGTCAGGTCGAGTGCAGGTCATCAGGTACATGAGGCAGCCCACAAGCTCTGGATACGGGCCACTCGGCTCTACGGACTCATCCGAAGGCAGAGCTGAGAGCGAGTGACCGGTAGGCAGAGGAGTGGACTGAGGCGAGGAGTACGTGAAGCCGAAGCGCTGGAGAACCTGCTGCACCATGTGTGACTGAGTCAGGGTGATGGTGCGCCGTGCTCTGTCCCGGGTGATCCGCAAGCCAAGATAGCTTGTCAGCTCACCCAGGTCTGTGCACGTGTGTCTCCTCTGCAGCTCCGACTTCACGTGGGCGAGTGCCGCGGTGTCAGCAGTGGCAAAGACCAAGTCGTCGACGTACACGAGGATGTAGAACGGCGGTAGCGAGGTGTCGGTGCGTAGAAACAGCGACGGGTCAGCAGTAGAAGGAGCGAACCCAAGAGCCGCAAGTGTAGTCCTCAGTGTGTCGTGCCACTCACGCGGAGCCTGGCGGAGACCGTAGACCGGCCGCTGAAGCCTCCACTGGGTACCAGGAGGAAACGACCCAGTGAAGCCAGGTGGGCGGCGCAGCCAGATCTCCTCGTGCAGGCTGCCCTGCAAGAAAGCAGTGCTGAAGTCAAGTGAGTGAAGCTCGTAGTCGCGGTGAGCGGCTATGTGCAGCAGCACCCGAAGAATAGTCATCTTCGGGGTGGGGGAGAAGGTCTGGAAGAAGTCAACTCCCTCTCGCTGACTGAAGCCTCGAGCCACGTAACGTGCCTTGAAGACAGGCGGAGAACCCGGCGGCCGCTTCACCCTGAAAATCCACATGCCACTGACAATGTTCGCCCCAGGAGGGGGAACCTCGTCGACGTAGGTGCGTGTGGACTTCCAGGAAGCCATCTCGGCGTCCATGGCTGTCTGCCACTGAGAGGAGTAGGGACCTGCCATCGCCTCAGCGTAAGTGCGCGGGGTCGGGATGTCTGGTGCATCCGGGTCTCCCTCAGGGGCAACTAGCAAGGACACGAGACGGGGCAAAGCAGCAGCAAGACACTGGAACTCCTCCTGTCTGTCCTCAAGGACGTCCGTGCCAAGAGCACGCTCACCCCCGACGGACAGAGGACAGACAGACTCAGACTCAGACTCAGCAACAAGGCTGGCAGCAAAGTCAACCAACTCAGCGACCAGAGCAGACGCAGTCGAGGACTCAAAGGTAGGGTCAGTGACAACAGTAGCGAGGAGACGCGTGACAGTAGGGTGCTCAGCACGGTACCGGTCAGACTCAGGGTCCGGAACGTGAGGCAAAGAGGACGCAGGAGGAGACGGTAGAGGGACACGCTGAGGAGCAGTAGAGGGACGCAGAGTCATGTAGTGAGTGCCTGGGACAGGAGGAGGACGCTCACGACGGACACGACTACCAGTGCGAGCAGGACGAACAGGCGACGCAGGACGAGACTCAGGCTCACGACGCTCTGTAAGACCTCCTGTGGGACCAGTGTAAGGAGAGGGAGCAGGGAGAGGCGAGGTAGGCGGTAACTGTGACTGCGGCTGGACAGGCGGAGGACACTCTACGGAGGGAGGAGGACAAGGAGGAGGAGCCTGCCCAAGAACCTGCTGAAGGAGCGGTACGAAGTACGGTCGCGGCCGCGCAGCGTCTCCAGAAGCAGAGGAGACTCCAGCGGCCGGGTCCACAGCACCAGCAGCAGCTCCACCGGCCGGGTCCTCAGCACCAGTAGCAGCTCCAACGCCCGGGTCCTCAGCAGCAGCAGCAGCGCCACCGCTCGGGTCCTCAGCTCCAGCGTCCGAGTCCTCAGCACCAGCAGCAGCTCCACCGTCCGGGTCCTCAGCACCAGCAGCAGCGCCACCGTCCAGTCCTCCAGCACCAGCAGCAGCTCCACCAGGCGGGTCCGCAGCACCAGCAGCAGCTCCAACGTCCGGGTCCTCAGCACCAGCAGCAGCGCCACCCCCAGGGTCCGCAGCACCAGGAGCACCACTCCGAAGACTGCAGCGCCGTGTGTACCACTCGCGGATCTGCTGAATGGGGGGGAGCTCCTGGGTAGGAGGGGAAGTACCGGGACGAGCTCCAGTAGCACCTCTCCGGAGGCGGCAGTACTCGAGGTACCTCTCCTGCAGCTGCTGGGAGGAGAGGGCTCCTCCAGGTGTAGCACGCTCAGGCTCAGCACCCCCAGGCTCAGTACCCCCAGACTCAGCACCCCCAGGCTCAGCACCTCCAGACTCCGCACCGCCTGACTCAGCACCCCCAGGCTCCGAACCCCCAGACTCAGCACTCCCAGGCTCAGCACCCCCAGACGCAGCACCCCCAGGCTCAGCACCCCTAGACGCAGCACCCCCAGGCTCAGCACCCCTAGCAGGACGAGAGTCAACAGCTACCTCGACAGGCTCACCCGGGTCTACCTGGGACACACCTGAGGGAGCGGCACCCTGAGGGGGGAGGGGGTCTGGTACCTCAGCACCTGGAGCGAGGAAGAGAGGCGGGGGGGGAGCGGGGCAGTGCGGTAGGGGAAGAGGCGGTAGTAGGGGACGGACTCGTCAAAAGTGACGTCCTGAGAGGCCAGGACACGACGCGAGGTGGGGTGGTAGAACTGCCAGCCAGGGGCGTCCGGGACAAAGCCAAGGAAGACGCAGGGGACAGCGCGACGGGAGAGCTTGTCCGCGGACGTGTCGCGGACAAAAGCTCGGGATCCCCAGACCCGAAAACGCGACGCATCGCCAGCCTCTCCCGTCCAACGCAGTGTCGGAGAAGTCTCGGGCAAGGAGACACGGGGCCAGAGGTTGAGCTGATGCGCAGCGTATCGGACTGCAAACGGCCACAGAAAATGGGGGGCAGCCGCATGGCTCAAGGAGGTACGAGCGACCTCCATGACCAGACCAATGCGGCGCTCAGCAACCCCATTCTGCTGTGGAGAGGCCGGAAGCGTGTACGACTGCTCAATGCCCTCCTGCTGACAGAAGGCCTCCAATAGGCCAGAGGAAAACTCCCCACCTCTGTCAGAGTGCAGATGCAGGACAGGGAAGTCGGAGCGGAAACGCTCACGGAGCTGGAGACGAGATCTGCGGATCCAAGGGATCAAGACATCAGGGACGTCACCCTTGGCGCGCAAGGGGAAGACCGTGGTGTAGCGCGAGAAGTCGTCAACAAGAATCAGGAAGTACCTCTCCTGACCCTGACCACGGACGTGGGCTGGGCCCCACACGTCCATGTGGAGCGTCTGCAAGGGAGCAGTCGTCGGGGGAAAGGAGGAGGAGTGAGGAGCGGCGCGCTGCCGTCCCTCGACACAGGGAATACAGGGAGGAGCAGGCGAGTCGGGAAGGGGAGGGAGCACCCTGGGAAGACCAGCAACAAGGTCCCGCTGGTGCATGGCCCGAAGGCGCTGCACAGACGGGTGACCAAGGCGGTGGTGCCAAAGGACAGTCTCATGTGCCAGAGAGCGACACGAGCAGGGGGCGGACAGCTGACCTGACGCAGACGCAGACGCAGACGCAGCTACCTGAGGGGACACAGTGGTCAGTGTGTAAAGGTCCGACCCCGGCTCCCGAGTGAAGGTAGCCAGGTGGCGACCCGTCCGAGCACACGTGCAGTGTGTCACGCGCTCGTAGGCAGGGGTGAACTGGTGAACACCCCCGTCCTGGAGCGCACTACCTGCCACCAAGTTCGTAGAGAACGAGGGGAGGTAGAGACCTGACAGCGTGCCGGACGGGACCGCCGGACAAGGAAGGACAGTGGAGGAGGTTGCAATGACCGGACCCCCAGAGGGGTCAGCAAGGGAGACAGCAACTGGCCGAGCGAGTGGCTCAAGGACAGTGCGGTCACGAAAGAAGGAGCGAGAAGCACCTGAGTCCAGTGTGAAGGTGTGCAGTGCTGCAGTCGACTCAGTACGAGGGGGCACGGACGCACGAGCACCTAGGGCTGCAGCCTCACCAGGACCTGTGGGAGCAGACGCACTAGCACCTAGAGCGGCAGCCGGACTGGCCTGAATGCCCGGGTCGGGCGGAACACGCAAGTACTGAGCACCCTCTCCACTAATAGACATCGCATACATGGCAGTGAGAATAGCATCAAAGTCTAAAGCCCAAATATCAACACCCCTCTTTTCCAGATCAGCCCAGCGCGGCAGCTCAGTGGCAGCAGGAAACTGAGTGCGCCACGCGTCGTTAAGGCGCGCGAAGCAGCGCTGCGTGGGGTGTGGCCTCCCACACTGCTGGCCGCTGCGGTCACCTGTGCGAATGATGTTGGTGTAAGGGCCTAATAAACTCAAGCTATTAGGACTTAATCAAACTTAAAACCTCTCCTCGGGGTCACCTCCAAGGGTCCCTGGGTGCCTGGTACAAGACCAGCCCCTATCCTCTGGTCCGAGTTTGTAGAGAGAGGGATCAAGAAGGACTTAGTCAAAACAGCAAGAGTACCTTGAACGTCGCGCAGCGTGCCGTGCAGACCGTCGGTCGGATTAAGCTGAGAATTCGCTATATCGAAGCTCGCTCCAAGAGCTTTAAAATGAGCCAAGTTGCCTCGCGAAAAGTTATGCCATTACTAAGTTCTGGCTCGGACAGCGTTTGCCTAGCGTTGGAGTGCTAGCATACTAGCGTTGACTCGGGTAGCATTCCGCCGTCGAATAGCGCAGAAACGAAATTCCAGCGAGGAAGGAATTCGCTTGAATCAATTCGACTATATTCAGGTACAAACAGAGAAGGATTAAATAGTTCTAGCTAGCAAGGACCTTGGGAATCAACCTGGGAACAACCAGGGATGATCCCAAATGATTCCAAGCAACAGAACCAACCAGGCTGGACAAAATAGCAGGTGGTAGGTTGGTAAACAACCTCTGGTTCTGTTTTTCCAACCTGGGAAAACAACAACCAAGTTCAGGTTCTAAAAACAGAACCTGTTTTGTCTTTGCCCAACCAGCCAAATGCTGGTTCCGCTGGTTTCCCCTGGCCTTGTAGCATGCAGATACAGACAAACAACATCCAACCTTCACCTAAATTGTACCCCTATAGTGCCTTCCCTGCTACACTATAGTTAACCAAACAAAACAGTACAATTCCGAGTTGGATAGAACTGAATCTGCGCAATCAACTCAACCGAACTGCAAAGCTTCCATCTTGGGTTCCTTTGCGAGCTCGTCCTTCCTGCTTGCACTGTTCATAGCGCATACAATGTTGTGCCGAAGCGCACATTGCGCGAGTACCTGCAAATGCATCAAGCGAAAAATGCGAAAGCAAACAAACACACGAACATTCCATTCACACCCAAATGCATTCGCACACGCATACTCGTACAAACAGACGGCAGGATGTCGTGCAATGTAAATTTGCACCCAACACACTCCCCCTCAGCCTGCCGGCTGCATCCCCATCATTCCATGCTAGTTCATGCTCATTCCACTCATGCGCACACAACGCCAATGAGGCTCATCCGCAAGCCTCTTGGTGAGAAAGTCTGCTGGCTGCTGGTGAGTCTTGATGTAGATCGGATGCACCGTCCCCCTCTTCACCTCCTTACGCAGCCAGTGCCACTTGATACGCATGTGCTTGTTCAGCCCATGAAGCACAACGTTTCTGGCCATCCCAAGAGCCCCCTTGCTATCACAAAACAGCGGCGTAGCAACTTTCTGCTCCTGGCCAATCTCCTCTAACAGCCTCCTCAGCCAAATCACCTCCTTCACCCCATGGAACATCGCCATGTACTCTGATTCTACGGAAGAGAGTGCCGTCTCCGTCTGCTTCTTGGACCTCCAACTAACAGGTCCTCCCCCAACTACGCAGATGTATCCTCCCACAGATGAGGAATCCTCCTTCTCAGAAGCCCACGTAGCATCGGTAAAGCAAGTGAGAAATAGCTTGCCTTCTCCAAGCCTCTCCCCCTTCTCTTTCAGCACCTCCACCCCTTTCTGCTTCACCTGTGCAGATGCGGAGTATTGAACTCCAATGCTTGGGTGAGAGTTCAGGTACTTCACCACACGCTCAGCTGCATCCACCTGCTCCTCTGATGGATTCTGCACCACCCTAGCCAGCTGCCCAACCGAGAAAGAGATGTCGGGCCTCGTGTGAACTGCTGCGTACAAGAGGCTGCCCACCAAGGACTGAAATTGCTGCTGCTCTTCAGCTTCAACCCCTTCATCCTCTGCAGCCTTCACAAGCTTGAATTCTGCTGGCAGGGGAGTTGCAACCTTGCGCTCATTCTCAATCCCATACTTCTCCCCCAGCTCCTTGATGAACTTCTCCTGGTGCAGCTTCAACCACCTGTGATCTGGATCCCTCTCCACGTGCATCCCGAGGTAGTACTTTACCTCCCCAAGGTTCTTGCACTTGAAGTTTTCCATCAGTTGCTGCTGCACTTTCTGGATCTCCTTCATGCTGCTGCTGAAGAGAAGAATGTCGTCCACATAGACCAGAAACAGCACCAGCTTCTCCCCCTCGCCCTTGAGAAAGAGGCTCTCATCACAGCTGCTGGTCCTGAATCCCATCTCCTCTAAAACAGCTGCCAACTTCTGGTACCAGCAGCGTGGCGCCTGCTTCAAGCCGTAGATGGACTTGTTGAGCTTGCACACCCTGCCCGTACCATCCTCATACCCAGGCGGCTGCGTCATGTACACATCCTCCTCTAAAATCCCATTCAGGAATGCCGTTGAAATATCCATCTGAATGATGAATTTCCCACTAACAGCTGCATCTGCCAACAAGACACGGAGGGTAGGGGGTTTGGCAGTGGGAGCAAAGATCTCGTTGAAGTCCTGCTTCTCCTTCTGCATAAACCCCTTCGCCACCAGCCTACTCTTGTAGATGGTGACCTGCCCCTTGTCATCGGTCTTGATCCTCAGCACCCACTTGCATTGTATCGCTTTCTTCCCATCAGGCAGCACCACCAGATCCCATGTCCTATTCTCCAGCAGACTCTGGTACTCAGCATCCCTAGAAGCCAGCCACTTGTCCCTATCTGGTCCAGCTAATGCCTCCTCCATGCTAGCTGGTTCCTCTGGTGCAGGGGCAAGAAAACAGTACGCAGGCTCATCCTCCTCATCCGGGTCATAGCCATGAGGTAGAATCAGCAATGCCTCTTCGGTCCCTAGCTGCTGCTCTGCTGCATCAGTTCCTGCAGTCAGCTTCTTAGTAGCCATACGGGTACGTCCTAGCCTGGAGACGGGTGTCTCCCATCCCTTCATAACGACACCCTTCGGCTTCTTAGTTTTTCCCTGCTGCTTCTCTCCTCCCTCGGGTCCAGCAGCTCCACTAGTGCTGCCGCCAGTTTCCACACCATTTTCTCCACCAGCAGATGCCTCCTGTACCTTCTCTCCATCACCATTTCCAGCAGCTGCCTCCTCTCCCTCCTCCCACACACTAGGAGTCAGGTCCAGCTGCATGGTGATCTGCTCCATCTGCTGGGACACCCTTGCCTCCGGCTGTTTCTCCCAGCTCCCATACATCATGCCCTCAATGAATTTCACATCCCTGCTGTCAAACAACACACCCTTGGATGGTTCCCACAGCAGCCATCCCTTGCTCTCAGCAGCCAGCCCCAAATGCACACACCAGATTGCACTCGCCCCCAACTTACTGCGGTAGGTCTTGGGGACGTGGGCGACTGCCATGCAACCGAACACCCTCAGCATGTCCACCGGCGGCTTCCTCCCAAGCCACCTCTCCAACGGCACCCACGAGTCATCCCCAACCTTGGTGAGCACCCTGTTCCTAGCGACAGTGGCGTGCCGGACAGCATGAGGCCACATAGAATTGCTCAGCCCAGATTCTATGAGCAGCGCCCTAGCTGTCTCCAGAATGGTCCGGTTTGCCCGTTCTGCTACACCATTGGACTGTGGGGTATAAGCCGTGGTCAGCTCTCTCTGGATGCCCTGCTTCTTGAGCCAGGCCGTCATTTCAGCTCCAAGGAACTCACCACCCCGGTCTGTCCTAATCCGCTTCACTACACACTCCGCCTGCTTCTCCACGAATGGCAGCCAATCGTCCCGTATCGTGGAGGCGGCGTGGTCCTTCTGCTTCAGCGGATACGCCCACATCAGCCTGCTCCAGTCATCCACAATTGTAAGAAAATACCGCTCCCCCTTGTGCCCTTGCACCGGCAGCGGCCCCACCAAGTCCATGTGGACCAGCTCCAAAGGCTTCTTGCTCCTGCCAGCCACACTATGGAAAGGGAAACGGGTGAACTTTGAAAGCAAACAGATTTCACAGTTGTCATCGGGTGGCTGTCCGTTCAGCTTCAGACCCTTAACGGCTCCATCCTTCTCCAGCTGCTTCAGCAAAGGCATTGCCACATGCCCTAAGCGCCGGTGTGCCGTTGCCCAATCTGTCTCCCCAGATCTGGCCGACACTTTCACACCAACCCCTCCAACGGCATTGCACTCCC